GCCTCCGCCGCATCTGCTCCCAGGATGAGGCATTCCACTCCCGAACATCTCAGAGGTCCTCGTTTTTCAAGGACCACAACTTCCCCTCCTCAGTGGTCAAGAACGCCCTCGACTGTGTTTCCCGCATTTCCCGCAACTCATCCCTCACACCCCCTCCCTGCAATAACAACCAAAACAGAATCCCCCTCGTCCTCACGTACCAACCCACCAACTTCCGGATCCAACGCATCATCCACCGACACTTTCACCATCTGCAATCCGACCCCACCACCAAAGACATTTTTCCCTCCCCACTCTTATCTGCTTTCCGGAGGGACCACTCTCTCCGGGACTCCCTTGTCCGCTCCACACTCCCCTACACACCCGGCACTTTTCCTTGCGACCGCAGGAAGTGCTACGCCTGCCCCTACGCCTCCACTCTCACCCCCATCCCAGGCCCCAAGAAGACTCTCCACATCAAGCAGATGTTCACCTGCACATCTGCTAATGTGGTATACTGTATCTGCTGTTCCCGTTGTGGCCTCTTCTACATTGGGGAAACCAAACGGAGGTGCGGAACACCTGCGCTCGGTTCACACTAAACAACTGCACCTCCCAGTCGCGAACCATTTCAATTCCCCCTCCCATTCCTCAGACGACATGTCCATCCTGGGCCTCCTGCAGTGCCACAACGATGCCACCCGAAGGTTGTAGGAACAGCACCTCATATTCCGCTTGGGAACCCTGCAGCCCAATGGTATCAATGTGGACTTCACAAGCTTCAAAATCTCCCCTCCCACTACCACATCCCAAAACCAGCCCAGCTTGTCCCCGCCTCCCTAACCTGTCCCTCCTCCCACCTATCCCCTCCTCCCACCTCAAGCCCCACCCCATCTCCTACCTACTAGTCTCATCCCGTCCCCTTGACCTGTCCGTCCTCCCTGGACTGACCTATCCCCTCCCTAACTCCCCACCTACACTCACCTTTACTGGCTCCATCCCCGCCTCTTTGACCTGTCTGTCTCCTCTCCACTTATCTTCTCCTCTAGCCATCTTCTATCAGCCTCCCCCTCTCTCCCTATTTATTTCAGAAACCCCTTCCCCTCCCCCATTTCTGAAGAAGGGTCTAGGCCCGAAACGTCAGCTTTCCTGCTCCTCTGATGCTGCTTGGCCTGCTGTGTTCATCCAGCTCTTGTTATCTCATATCCTTTGACCATCTGCACTACTTCCACCAGTTCGTTCTGTTGTGAACGTTCATTAAAAATCAAACATCCATCAAACTGCACGTTGGGAACATTCCTATCAATACTAGAAATGAAAATGACTACTATAGATCCTCACCATACCTCTTCATGTTAATTGGCTGAGGAACCCAGAAGTGATACGGTGATGCATCACTGAGCTTACTCCCAAGATTCCCCATTGCACCACTGTAGCTCCCTGCGTTCAGCACTCCAAGAACATACTGGCCAGCCCATAGACACAGTAGCAAAGTAAAGCTAAAGGAATCACTACTAACTCAGGGATGTTATCTCCAGTGCTTGAGGCTAGAACACCTGATGTTGTCTCCACTTCACATGCAATCGGGTTCCTGCAGATCTCACCAGGATGTTCTTTTCGGAGATTTACGAGATCTTCGTAATCCCCTTTGCCTGTTGGATTATCCCGATCAAACCACTGGGTCTTGCAGTTACTGTTGCCTGATTAATGCAACAAAAAAGAAAACTGTCAGCAATATTTTAAAAGAAGCTAATGAAAGATTTGTTTATAAAGTGCAGAATTAACAGTGAAAAGTTTTGATATTTGGACTCTGATTTACAACCAAATTGATAAATAATTCAGTGTGGAGTTTGCACATTCTCCCCGTGTTTGCATGGGTTTCCTCCAGGTACTTCGGTTTCCTCCCACAGTCCAAAGATGTGCAGGTTAGGTGGATTGACTAAGCTAAATTGCCCGTGGTGTTCAGGGATGTGTAGCTTAGGTGGGTTATCGTGGGATGCTCCAAGGGTCGGTGTGGACTTGTTGGGCCGAAGGGCCTGTTTCCACACTGTAGGGATTTTATGATCTATGATTATAATATTTAGTTTCAACCTTTGCTCACAAAGAGTTTAAAATGAAAAGCCCTTGAGACCAAGTGTTTGGTTTGCTTTCCTTCCCTCCTATGATGCCATAAGTATGATTGGTCCTTCTTAGTGTTGTATTCCCAGAACTCTGTGCTGCACAAGAAACACTGGAACAGGAGTTGGCTAATTAGCCCCATGAGCCTGTTCCATCATTTAACAAGATCATGGATGATTAGTGGCCTAACTCCATATACCTGCCATTGGTCCATATGCCTTATCACTTCTTCTTACAAGAAAACTTATCAATCATAAACTTAAAACGAACACATCAAGTATTCAGTTCTTACAACAAACCAAAATAATTATTTGATTCAAACTTCACAGGAACACCACTGCACAACCCTTGGGTCAATGAGCCTGAGTATTAACCCCATTGCAGATAGACAGCTATCCAATGGGGAGATTCAGACCTGAACTTCATGCAGGCATCAACTGTCTTCCTGTTACTGTATTCAAGCATCCAATTGCATAGTTGAAGCAATTTACCACTTTGGGAGCCTGATTTCAATCAGCTGCCATTTTTGTAATTCATTCTTAATTTATTGGATCATGCACACCTTTTGCAGTGAAAGGAGGGAGATGACAGATTTCAGCTTGATAACAGAAGTACTGCTCAATGCAGAATGTGGGTTAGGAAAAGCAGAAAAAAAAAATTCCCCTTAGTTTCAAAGAGGTTTTTGGCATCACTGTTCCTGATTATGCCTGATCCCGGTCAAGATCATGGATGAGATGGCCTCTTCCTGATTTCCAATTTCCCCTCTTTTCCCAACCTGCAAAGTCTGACCTTTCCTCCTCCCAATTTTTCCTGTTTCTAGTTTCTTTTTCTGGCCACAGGTTCAAGCTGTCTGTTTTGGACAGCATGAGGCATCAGCAGAATGTGTTTTATTATTCACTCATGGGATATGTGGGTGTCACTAGTTAGATCAAAATTTATTGCTTATTTCTAATTGCCCCTGGAGAAGTTAGTGGTGAGTTGTCTTCCTGAACTGTTGCAAATTCTGGCATGTAGGGACACCAACAATGTTGTTAGGGAGTCCTAGGATTTTGACACAGCAACACTGAAAGGATGTCATTATATTTCCAAATCAGGCAGGTTTGTATAATGTTGATCTGTAGATATTGATGATGATGGTGTCACATGTTTATGTATGATTATGCCAGACCAGATGATGTGTTGTAACTGCATGATGTGGGAGCTAGTGGTCCCCATTCTGGTTCAAATTAACTACATATAAGCAAGTGTTAGTTGCTTGAGGAGCTCCAGCTCATGGTCGATGAGCTGGTGTCTGAGCTTTGAATGCTGTGACCCCATCAAGGAGGGGGGTGGTACCTGGATACTGTTTCAGGAGATACCCTTTAGATTAACTACCTCCAATTCAGTCAGGGGTCAAGAACAGGAAGGTGTGACTTCAAGAGTGAGGTAGGGAGAAATCCAGGAGGACCTGTTGAAGGAGCCTCAGCCCTTGTCCTCGACTAACAGGTTTGAGGTTCTTGCTCCCTGTGTGTTTGAAAGCGAAGATTGTTGGAACAATGAGCAAACAGACCATAGCACTGTGGTACTGGGAGCCATTGGAGAGGGGGTAGAAAAAGAAGTGTAGTTGTAATTGGGGATAGCAGAGTCAGGGGAATAGCCACTGTCCTCTGTGTTCAGGATTGAGAGTCCCAAAGGCTGTGTTGCTTGCCTGATGCCCAGATTCAGGAAATCTTGTCTGGGCTGCAGTACAACTTGGAGTTGGAGGGAAAAGATTCAATTGTTTGGTACCTACATGGACCACATGTTATAGGGGTAAGAAGGAAAGAGGTTCAGCTGAGGGAATATGAACAGTAGGGGCTAAATTAGAAAGCAGAACCAAAAAGGTAATAACCTCTGGAATACTATCTAAGCCATGAGCAAATTGTTACAGGGTCAACAAGAAAAAGAGAAATGCATGGCCCAAAGATTGGTGTGAGAGAAAGAGGTTTGAATTCATGGGGCTTTGGCACCAGTACTGGGGAAGGGGGTAGCTGTTCTAATGGGATGGCTCCACCTGAAACGTGCTGGGACCAGACTCCTCGTGAATTGCACAACTAGGGCTGTGGCTAGTGCTTTAAACTAAATAGTGGGAAGTTGTCCGATTGCATAGAAAATTATGGGGGAAAAAGTGGGGGAAGGCTCAGCAGAGACTATTAAAGTTTCCAAAACAAGTAATAGAACAGAGCATAAGGAAACTGTCAGGAATCTAACTGCAGGCACAGCAGATAAGGTGATGGCTATGAGAAGGGGGCAGTCAATGCAGGACTGATTGTGTTGTACTAAATACATGCAGTATATGAAACTAGTTAAATGAGCTCGTAGTGCAGATTGAAATTGGCAGGATCAGGGCTGGGAACTAAATATCCAAGGATCTGTGTCCTATTGAAGAGCTGGGCAAATGGACAGAGTGGGTAGGATTGCCTTATTAAGAAATAAGAAGTGATATAGAGTCAGAAAACGTAGAATGTGTGTAGGTTGACTTAAAGAACTGCAAAGGGACAAAGACTCTCATGGGAGAGTCAGGATCTGGAGCAGAAAGTAAATCAGGAGATGGAAAAGGCATGTAAGAAAAACCCAATTACAATAATAATGCGAGACTTCAATATGTAGGTGTACTGGGAAAATCAGGTTATTAGTGGATCCCAAGAAAGGGAACTCATGGAATGTCTATCTGAGATGATATTTTTGGAGCAGTTTGTGGCAGAGTCCACCAGGGAACAGACAATTCTGGATTGGTGATTTGTCATGAAGAAGACTTGATTTAGCAAGTTTAAGGGGGCAGTGACCATAATATGTTAGAATTCACCGTGCAGTTTGAGAGGGAGAAACTTGAATCCGATGTAACAGTAATACAATTGAGTAAAGGAAACTACAAAGACATGAGGGAGGAACTGGCCAGAGTTGATTGGAACAAAAACAGGGAAGATAGTGGAGCAACCATGGCAGGCGTTTCTGTGGGTAACTCTGAACATGCAGCAGAAATTCATCCCAAGGAAGAAGAAACCTACTGACGGGAGGATGAGGCAACTGTGGCTGACAAGGGAGGTCATGGACAGCATAAAAACCAAGAAAAAGAAGTGTGCAATGTGGAGATGGGTGGGAAACCACAGAATTGGGAAGCCTTTTAAAAACCAGCAGAGGATAACTAAAAAGCAAAAGTAGGGAGACAATGAAATATGAGGGTAAGCTAGCTAGTAATAGAAAAGAAGATTGCAAGTTTTTTTTTTAAGATATATAAAAAGTAAGAGAAAGGTAACAGTGGACAAAAGCTCCCTCTTGAATATATCTAATGAACTGACACCAATGGCTTTCTGTGGTCGAGAATTTCACAGTTTAGAACTCTTGGGTGAAGAAATTCTTCCTCATCTCAGTCCTGAATGACTTACCCCTTATTATTAAGGTTTAAATCTTCTCCTTAGGAGCAATGCTAGCCCACCTCCCTTTCTTTTCAGTCCATCTTTCCCGAAAATTGAATACCACTGGAATCCTTAACCACCCTGGAGCCAGGTTTCCGAGATCCCAATTACATCATATCCATTAATAACTGTGCACAGTTAATTCATCTATCTTCTTATAAATGGTCCTCGTATTGAGACACAGTCTTCAGGCTCATTTTTTTGACAATTATTGCCCTTTTAGAATTATGAAGTAATGTGGCCCTTTTTGATTTTTGTCTTTGGTTTCTCTGCCTTCCACTTTCACTTTTCCCTTTACTGCCTTTTGTTCAGTTCCCACTTGACTTCCCTTTGACTTCCCCTGCATGTTAGTTTAAACCCTCCCCAACAGCACTAGCAAACGGTCGCTCCAGGACATTTGTTCCAGGCCTGCCCAGGTGCAGACTGTCTGATTTGTACTAGTCCTACCTCCCCAGAACAGGTTCCAATGTCCCAGGAATTTGAATCCCTCCCTCTTGCACCGTCCCTCAAGCCATGTATTCATCTTAGCTATCCTCCCATTCCTACTCTGTCTAGCATGTGGCATTGGTAGCAATCCTCAGATGACTACCTTTGAGGTCCCACTTTTTAGTTTAACCCCTAACTCCCTAAATTCAGATAATTGGACATTATCCCATTTTTTTTTACCTACACCGTTTGTGACTATGTGCACCACGGCAGCTGGCTATTCACTCTCCCCCTCCAGAATGTCCTGCAGCCGCTCTGAGGCATCCTTGATTGTTGCATCAGAGAGGTAACCTACCATCCTGGGAAGGGAGGGAGGTGGCAGACAGGAAACTGTAAGACGTTTAGCCTGCCCTCAGTAGTTAGTAAGATTTTAGAGTCCAGTATTAAGAATGAGATTGTAGAATGATTGGAAATGCATGGTAAAATAGGGCTGATTCAGCACAGCATTATCAAGGGAAGGTCTTGACAAATCTGTTAGAATTGTTTGAGGAGGTAGCAAACAACTTAGAGAAAGGAGAGCCAGTGGATGTCATCTATTTGGATTTCCAGAAGGCTGTTGACAAGGTATAACCTAGAAGGCTGCTCATGGTGTTAATGGGCAAGGTACTGGCATGGATAGAAGATTAGCTGACTGGCAGAAAGCAGTGAGCGGGGATTAAAGAATCTTTTTTCAGGGTGGCAGCCAGTGACTAGTGGCGTTCCACAGGGGTTAGCGTTGGGAGCACAACTATAAATATTATACATTAATGATCTGGACAAAGGAACTGACTGCATTGTTGTGAAGTTTACAGGCGATGCAAAGACTGGTGGAGGGACAGGTAATGTTGAAGATGTGGGGAGGCTGCAGAAGAACTCGGGCAGGCTAAGAGTGTGGGCAAGGAAGTGGCAGATGGAATACAATATGGGAAACTGTAAGGTAGGAAGAATAGAGGTGTAGACTGCTTTCCAAATGGGGTAAGGATTTGGAACTGTGAAGCACAAAGTGACTTGGGAGTCCAAGTTCAGGTTTCTCTTAAGGTTAACGTGTAGTTTCAGTTGGCAGTTAGGAAGACAAATATAACAGTAGCATTCATTTTGAGAGGGCTAGAATACAAGAGTAGAAATCTACTTTTGAAGCTGTATAAAGCTCTGGTCAGACATTCAGAATATTGTGAGCAGTTTTGAGTCCTGTATCTAAGGAAGGAAGGGATGGCATTGGAGGGGCTCCAAAGGAGGTTTACATGAATGATGCAGGGAATGAAGAACTTGTCATACAAGGAATGGTTGAGGACTCTGGGTCTGTACTCCAGGGACACAATTAATGGTAAGGCCCTGGCGAACGTTGACGAACAGAGAGGTCTAGGGGTACAGGTACATAGTCCCTTGAAAGTGGTGTCACAGGTAGACGAGGTGGTGAAGAAGGCACTTGGCATGCTTGCTTTTATTGGTCAGAGCATTGAGTGTAGAAGTTGGGACATCATGTTGTGGCTGTATAAGACATTGGTGGGGCCACTTTTGGAGTACTCAGTGCAATTCTGGTTGCCTTGCTATAGGAATGATGCTATTAAACTGGAAAGGGTACAGAGAGGATTTACAAAGATGTTGCTGGAACTGACGAGTCTGAGTTATAGGGAGAGGCTCGAAAAACTGGGACTTTTCCCCCTGGAGCATAGGTCAGCACTCAGCTTCCTTTTATAAACGTCTATAAGGTGAATAGCCAAGGTTTTTTCCCTAGGGTAGGGAAGTCCAAAACTAGAGGGCATAGGTTCAAGGTGAGGGGAAGATTTAAAAGGGACCTGAGGGGCATACAATTACAACATTTAAAAGACATTTGGACAGATACACTAATATGAAAGGTTTATAGGGTTATGAGCCAAGAGCAGGAAAATATGACTAGTACAATTTAGGAAACCTGGTCAGCATGGAAGAGTTGCACTGAAGGGTCTGTTTCCATACTGTATGACTCTGATTCTATGAACAGGGATCTGATTGAAATTTAGAGAATACTGAGAGGCCTGGACATGGAGAAGATGTTTCTGCTGGTAGGGGAGACTAGGCCCTGAGGGCACAGCCTCAGGAGTATGAGATGACTCTTTAGAACTGAGATGTAGAGGAATTTTTTTAGCCAGAGAGTGGTGATTCTGTGAAATTCATTGCTGCAGAAGGCTGTGGAGACCAAGTCATAGAGTGCATTTAAGACAGAGATACATAGTTTTTGACAAGTAAGGGGATTACGACGACAGGGAGAAGGCAGGCGAATGAGGTTGAGAAACGTATCAGCCATTATCAAATGGTGAAGCAGACTCAATGGGCCGAATGCTTAATTCTGCTCCTATATGTATGGTCTTACGGTTTTAGGGGTGTGAAATGGAAGTTAAAAATAATGAGCTTGCTCCACTGACTTCAACGTGACAACCACATCCCGACCTCACCAGGAACTTTCAGTGATTGTCTGCTTTTCCCTAGAATCATTAAGTGTATGCCACTTTGGAAATAATAATGTCCACTACTCACAAAATGCTTCAGGGCAGATGAATCTTATCCTGTAATCTTCACAGCTGCCATCATCTTGCTTTGCATTCACACAGGCAAATCCAGAAGAAATGCTGCACCTGTTCAAGACCGGGTGAGATAGTGTGATAATGTAGTTACCAAAATAATTCTTCTGTTTTTTCCAAATGAATACACAATGTAACAACAAAACCATCAACAACTTGAAATCATAAAGTGCCTTAAATGTTGTGAGAAGAGTCCATTATGCTTCCTACGCACTTTACTGAACTAATTTTGACATCTCACTAGATAAGGAGTTAGGAGAGCAGGTAGTAAAAAAGTAGGTTTCAACAGTATCTCAAAGTGAAACTTGTACAGAAAGAGAGGTTTAAGGATAAACTTAAGACAACTGAAGGCAAACCACTTGGTACAGTGGAGGAAATCCACAGTGGCGACGAGTTGGTGTTCGTGTATCCTTATTGTTAGTTTTCTTCCAGTTTGGCCTATGTAATGTTTGTAAGACTGTGAGAAACTAGCCACCAAGAGACACAACCAGTTCTCACTGGTCTCGATACACATGGACAAAGAAGGACATGAATTCAACTGGGACTACACATCCATAATAGCACAAGCCAAACAGAGAAATGCCAAGGAATTTCTGGAGGCCTGGCATTCCAGCTGGAAATCCATCAACAAGCACATTGAACTGGGCCCGATATACAAACCACTGCAAACAGAGCTGGAAGTGATGCCAACCACCCCAACAAACCGAGGCATACAAATAACAAGCAGGACAGAACTCTAACGCTTCACCGGAGGCACACTGACGATGTTACCTAGCATGGTGATGAAATGTTTGCAATCAAACACACCGGCTTGGCGAGCAAGTCTTCAACCTGAGCTACAAATCTTCTAAAAAACTTAAAGTCTTGGTCCACTTTCTTGAGGAGGGATGTAGTTGCTTTAAAGGCAGTTTGGAGATCATTCGATTAATTGATACCAGAGGTGAGGGGTTTGCCTTATGAAGAGAGGCTGAGTAGTTTAGCATTATTTCTCCAGAGTTTAAAAGAATAAGAGATCTAATTGAGGTATATAAGATGCTAAAGGGAACTGACAAAGTCAATAACAGAAAGGATGCTTCCTCTTATGGGACAATCTAGAATAAAAGGTTGTAGTTTTGGGATAAGGGGTAAGAGATTTTTAAAAAAAAAGAGATGAGAAATTACTTCTCTCAAAGGAAATCTACGGAATTAACTACCCCAGGATAGGGTGGATACCGGGATATGGAGTAAATTTAATGAGGAGATAAACAGATTTTTAATTAGTAATATGTTGAAGGGTTATGGGGAGCCTGTCGGAAAATATTGAGCGAAAATATAAAAGCCAGGCGGGAAAACACACCGACGCTTCATCAGAGGCTGCACTGAGGATGTTACCAAGCATGGTAACGAAACGTCTGCAGAACAACAAACCAGCTCGGCGAGCCAACCAACCTCAACACCCACAACCCGAGCTACAAATCTACTCCAAAACCTTGGAAAATATTGAGGTCGAGATGAGATCAACCGTGATCATATTGAATGGTGGAGCAAGCTTGAGGGGCTGAATTGCTTCCTCCTGCTCCTAGTTCTTATGTTCTTATGTCTCAGGGCTGTAGTGTATAGTTAGGTAAGGGGAAAGCCACTGAAGAAATTAAAACAGGGATAGGAATTTAAAATTTGAAACATTTTCAGGACAAGTGCTGAACAACTCCATTTTACAGACACAGAAGTTGCTGGAAAAGCCCAGCAGGTCTGGCAGCATTAGTGAAGAGAAAATCAGTGTTAACGTTTCAGGTCTGGTGACCCATCTTCAGAACTGGGGGAGGAAGGGTCACCAGACCCAAAACATTAACTCTGATTTTCTCTTCACAGATGCTACCAGACCTGCGGAGCTTTTCCAGCAATTTCTGTTTTTGTTCCTGATTTACAGCATCCACAATTCTTTCGCTTTCCATTTCACAGAGAGTAGACAATTGGAACATGCCCAGGAGAGCACAGAAAGTCAAATCTGGGGAGAGCAGAAGCACGGACAAGGGTTTCACCAACAGATGAATTAAGTGGAAATAGGCAGTCTTCGTGAAAGAGAGGATTCGTGGTTTGAAACACATCTTACGATCAACTGGAATTCAATAAGATACAAGAAAAGACTTAGGCTATTTGGCCCCTCGAGTCTACTCTGCTATTCAATCATGGCTGATATGTTTCTCAACCCCATTCTCCTGCCTTCTCCCAGAAAGAGGATGTATCAGTTTCACGCTGAGTGGCTCAGGAATTAGCTTCGAAGCCACTGGTTTCATACTTTACAATACTAATTGGAGATGATTTCTGCTCCTCAAATTTTGGCCACTGGTCAAGTGTGACAATATCAGAGCTAGGAAAATGGTTCAGGGAGGTAGTGTGGAGGAACAAGCTGGCAACAATCAATATTTACTCAGGGATGTTGTCTCCGGTTTCTGAGGCTGGAACTCCTGATACTGTCTCCACTTCACATGCAGTTGGGTTACTGCAGATCTGATCAGGATTTTCTTTTCGCAGATTCACAAGATCTTCATAGTCCCCATTTCCTGATGGATTGTCATGATCAAACCATTGGGTTTTGCAGTTGCCTGATTTGTGCAACAAACAAAAAGAAACAATCAGCAATACTTTTAATGATACAATTGAAGCAAATAGTTCCATGGATACAAAACAGAAAATTGCTCGCAATATTTATTTGTTTTAATTTTTATCAGGAAACAGACAGGGTTGGCTTGTCTTTAGAACAAGCGATCAAAAGGAATATTAAAACATTTAAGATGGCAGAGGAATGAATTGATAAGCTAGTCATCTTACATGCATGCTCAGCCTGATTCTGTAGCAGTGCTGGGGGCTAGGTGCATATGTGCATAGATTGATGGAGGAGTTAGGATAGATTGGGACAGCAATTAATGAAGTTTATAGTATCCTAGGCTTTATTAATAGGGACATGGAGTACAAGAGCAAAGAAGTTATATTGAAATAAATGAAATAATTAATGAGTTCCAAAGAAGAGTTAAATTGAAGTCGAAATATTAACTTGTTTTCTCTCTCCGTCGATGCTGCCTAACCTGCTGAGTGCCTCCAGCAATTTCCACTTTTTTTTTCAGATTTCCAGCATCTGCAATACTTTGCTTTTAGTTTAGAGGTTATATTAGATTGAACTAATTTAAGACCCTGGTTTAGCCTCAGCTAGAGCATTATGTCTAGTTCTCGATGCCTCACTTTAGGAAGGCTGTGAAGGCATTGGAAAGGGAGCAGAAAAGATTTGTGAGAAATGTTCCAGGAATGAAGAACCCTAGTTAAGAAAACAGATTGGACATGTTAGGGCTGTTTTCCTTAGAGAAGAGAGGATACTCTATAAAGGTATACAAAATCATAAGAAGGTTGAACAGAGTAGATAAAGAAACTGTTTCCAATTGTGAAAGGATTGAGAATGAGACGGAGTAGATTCAAAGCAATTGCCAAAAGAAGCAAACGTGACGTGAGGAGAAACTTTTTCATGCAGCAAATAGATCAAGTCTGGAATGCATTTTCTGTGGTGCGGGCAGGGTCAGCTGAAATATTCAGAAGGGAATTTGACTGTTAACTGAAAAGGCAGAATATTCAAGGTTACAGAGAAGAGGGGAGAATGGTTCTACTTTAATTACTCATTTGGACAGCTGGCATAGACATATTCAGCTGAATGGCCACTTTATACGCACTGTAACCTGCCTGTGATCCTGTATAAAAGACTCAGGATAATGGTCAGTACATGTTGGGTCAGGGTGCAGATAGCAGAATGGATATTATCCTGGCAACAAAACAGAGACCGAAAATTAAAAGTAGTTCCTGAGAAAAGCAAAAGGCAAGAAGTGGAGTTCCACAGGATCAGTGCTATAACCACAGTTATTCAACTTACACAGTTTGGACGCTGGAATTGTAAACACATTACCAACATTGTGAGATAGCAGGAACTGCAGATGCTGGAGTCAGAGACAACACAGTGTGGAGCTGGAGGAACACAGCAGGCAGGACAGCATGAGAGGAGCAGGAAAATTGACGTTTTGGGTCGGGACCCTTCTTCAGAAATGGGGAGGGGGAATGGAGCTGGGAAATAAATAGAGAGATGAGGGGTGGGGCTGGGGAAGGTAGGTGGGATGGTGATAGGTGAGTGCAGGTAGGCAGTGGTGGGGATTGCTCAGTGGGAAGGGTGTAACGGAGAGGTGGGAGAGAAGGTGGACCAGTTGTGTCAGGTCAAGGGATGAGAGGGAGGCTTGTACATGGGATGAAGCCGGGGGTGGGGAGATTTTAAAACTAGTGAATTCCATGTTTAGGCCATCCGGTTGTAGGCTCCCAAGGTGGAATATGAGATGTTGTTCCTCCAGTTCGCGACTTGGTCAACTTGGTCTACTGTATCCGCTGCTCCCAGTGTGGCCACCTCTACATCGGTGATACCAAGCGTAGACTCGGAGACCATTTTGTAGAGCATCTGCGCTCTGTACACAACAAATGACAACACCTTCCGGTTGCCAACCATTTTAACTCCGCTTCCCACTCCCTGGATGACATGTCCATCCTGGGCCTCCTCCAGTGTCACAATGACACCACCTGCAAACTGGAGGAGCAACACCTCATAATCATATTCAAATATTAGGAAAAAAAAGTATTACTTTTGATAGAAGAAATAAGAAGTGCATCTACTTTTTGGAAAATAAGAGATTAAAGACGGCACAGTTGCAAAGAGAGTTCAGATTGTTGAATTAAATTAATAAAAGTAACAATACTTCAACAAAGAAAAGTGCAAACAAAAACCGTCGATTAGAGACATGTTTGGAGGACTGAGGGCACATTTCGGGTCTTTGTTTTACAAAGCAGATATTGAATATACAAGAGAACGTGTTTTTAAAAAAATGTACAAGCATGATCCAGAATTAAGTTGAGTCTAAAGGTGTGTTTCTGTGTTGCAGTTTTTTGTAAACCTCTGAAATTCTAGTTGCTGAAAAATGCTGAGACTGATCAATCTCTTTCAACTCGAAGCCTTCCAGCAGAAATGAGACTAAAATAGGTAATAGGAGAGTGGCAATGTTGAAAAAATACCATGCCATATATTTTCTACTGGACTAGGAAGCACAATGAAAAAATTTCCTGACTCAGCAGACCTGCCTCGGAAGTGCTTCACCAGAGCCAATTTTTGTTCCAGATTTGGACATAGGTGTGAGGCAGAGCTGAGCTTGTTGATTCTGGGAGTAGATCAGAGCTCCAAGAAAGCTACTTACAGTTATCCCCTCAATTCTCTAGGATGTTATCCTTGTCATTTATTTTTATTTCAGGGTCTCTAGTTCTCACCTTCACTACCTCACTCCCTAATCATTACCGTGCCACCACTTAAGGGCCCCAAACTCTCAGATCCCCACCGCACACATATCCCCTATGCTACTTCAGGCACTTCCATTACTACTTCAGGAAGACAGTTCAAAAACCTCATGGACCCTGAGAGAGAAAATGTTTTGCCTGATCTCTGTTTTAAATAGGTGATGCCTGAATTTTAAACAGTGAACCCTAGATTGTACCATAAGAGGAAGCATCCTCTCCACATCTATCCTGTAGACCCCTCAGGGTCTCAATCGAGTCACCTCTTATTTATCTAAACCTCAGTGAGTTCAAGCTTAGCCTGTCTGAACTTTCCTTATAAGATCACCTGCTCATTCCAGGTATTAGTTTGGTAATCCTTCTCTGAACAGTTTGCAATGCATTTACATCCATTTTTAAAGACGGTGACCAATGCTGTACACAGGATTTCAGATGTGGTCTTACCAGCGCCCTGTATAAAATCTCTACTTTTGTACTCAACTCAATTTGCAACAAATTATAACATTCTATTAGCTTTACTTGTTGTGTACTAACATTCTGCAATTTATATTTTAGGATACACAGATCCCTCTGCTCTACAATTTCTCACCACTTACAAATAATATGCTTCTTTTCATTCTTCCATCTAAAATGGGTAATTTTCACATTTTTCCACATTATACTCCATTTGTCACATCTTTGCCCACTCAGTTAATTCATCAATATCCTTTTGTAGCCTCCTTTGTCTTTGTCACAACTTACATTCCTATCTATCTCTGTGACATCTGCAAGTTAGGTATCATTTTAGACAAGTGTGTTCTCGGTCAAGCATGCATAATAGGTGTTAAGTAAATTAGAAATTTGTTACATATTTGCTATTCCATCTCCCTTTGACCTTTTAAGGCTCTGCTGTGCATCAGGAATACTGAGCTGTCATTCAATCACTTCTTAAAGTTTTGTTGCTGTAATAGTTCTGATATCTCTTCTAAGTGTCTACCCTCAGCTTATCAGTCGAGTTCACTAGACTCCTTGTATTGAAGCTCATTCCAGAAGTCATGAAAAACTCCCTTTTCTATTTTTTAGCCTTTGTTTCCCCTGCCTCCCATACTTACTTACGTATTCCCTCCATTCTATTTTTCTCTCAGATTCCCAACCTTTGCCCCTTAACCCTGGCCACCAAGCCAATTTGAACCTGCAAAACTGCTCCTCTGAATGCTTCCCACCATGATATTGTTGAGATGAGAACTGCCCAGCTTTTATAGGCCACATCTCTTTCAGAAACAACTGTAATGCGCAGGAATCCAAAGCCCTCTTTCATGCAACATTTCTCCAGCACAGTCAGCAGCAATAATTCTGCAACAGAAGCAAAAATTGCTGGGGAAACTCAGCAGGTAAAGGCAGCATCCATGGAGAGAAAACAGAGTTAATGTTTTGCATCCAATGACCCTTCATCAGCACTAATTCTATACTCAGCGGTAACCTATAGGATCTACAACAGTGTGCCTCATTGAGAAGCAGCTGATAACACCTTCTGGGTTTCTGAATTTAACTGTGCCAGCACAGTCACAGAATAAGAGAAATGCTGAACTGCAGAAGGAGGCATTCAGCACTGCCTGTCCAAGTAGGTATTATGACTTGGTGTCACCTTCCTTCCTCCCTGATATCCTTGCACATTGTTTTTATCCAAATAAATGCCTCAAATAAACCTGCTTCCACCAGACAGTGCACTCCAGACCTGAACCAATCATTGAGTGAAAAGGTTCTTTCTCACACTGCATTTGCAAATCACTTTGAATCCGTGACTGCTTGTTCCTGAATTTTTTGAGAGTTGGAACAGTTTCTTCCCATCTACTCTTTCCAGCTCACTCAAGATTTTGAAAACTTCTATTTGATTTCCTCTCTGCAAAGGGAATAGTCCCAACCTTGTCAATCTATCCTCATAACTGAGGTTCCTCATCACTGGAACCATTCTGTCAACCTGTTCTGTACTTTCTCCATTGTGTTCACACACTTCCTATAATGTGGTGCTAGAAAGTGCAAACAATGCTCCAAATGAACTGTAACAAGTTTAGCACCACCTCTTGCTCTGTGCCACTCTTAATAAAGCACAGCATATTGAATACTTTATTACTTGTGCTCTGCACCTGTTCTGCCACCTTCAATGATCAATGTAAATATATACCCACATTCCTCTGCTCCTCAGTCCCTAAAGAATTAAACCTTATGTTTTGTATTGTTTGTCTATGTTCTTCCAACCAAAATGAATCACAGCACATTTCTCATTGAACTTCATCTTCCACCTATCTGACCACTTTACCAACCGGTCTGTCTTGGAGGTCTACACAGTCCTCCTTACAATGCTTCCAAGTTTTGTATCTTGCATAAACTTTGAAATTATCCCCAAGATCTAGATCATAAGTATATATCAGGAAAAACAAGGGTCCTAAGACGAGCCCCAGGCAAACTCCACGACAAGCCTTCTCCAGCCTGCAAGGCATCCATCAATCCAGGGGTTTGTGCCAGCTTCAGAGCAGGAATAACACTGTATGCTTCCCAGACATCTGCTTGTAATTGAAACTGCCATTTAACTGGAATCAGTTCTAGAAGCTCACAAGGCTAACATTGGTTAATGATGATGTGGAGGTGCCAATGTTGGACTGGGGTGGACAAGGTCAGAAATCACACGACACCAGGTTACAGTCCAACAGGTTTATTGAAAACATAAGCTTTCTGAGCCTTATTCCTTCTTCAGGTATTAGTGAGAAAGGTAGTATCAGACATAGAATTTATAAATAAAAGATCAAAGGGTCACACGACTGATGAGGATATACTAAACAAACTCAAGATGCTGTTAAATCTTTAATCAGTTAGAAGTGATAGCGCCATGTAGTTGTTTTAGTGATTAGGTTTTTATTAGTACATCCTCATCAGTGGTGTGACTCTTTGATCTTTTACTTATAAATTCTGTGTCTGGTACTACCTCTCACTAACACCTGAAGAAGGAGTAAGGATCCGAAAGCTTGTGTTTTCAAATAAACCTGTTGGACTGTAACCTAGTGTCGTTTGATTCCTGACCTTGGTTAATGATAACACTGGCAGCATGTCAGCTGTCATCAATGAACACAAATGTTTGTCCTGTGTTCTCTATCATTTACAATGACATCACCTTGATTATACCCTTTGTGTTGGGTTCCTATCACTGGCTGATAGTCAGCAAGTATTCAATACACTTTATACCTTGTAGGTTTTCAATCTGTAACAGTTCAATAACACCATTTTGTTCTAACTTGTACTGACATTCATGTTCATAAACACACAGCTAAACTACAGCACTGGTTACAGAGTAGTTGTTTTCAAAGTGCAAGATAACTATCATTAAGGCAACATTTACAATGTCTAATACTTACAAAAAGATTCAGGACAGATAAATCGTACTTTGTAATCTTCACAGCTCCCATCTTCTTGTTCTTCATTTACACAGGTGAATCCAGTAAAAATACTGCACCTGTTAATGAGAGGGTGTGATGATGTGTTTGCCAGAACAATTATTAGTCTTTGAAATTGAACAGGGATGAGAGGAATTATGATTTACTCAGGGATGTTGTCTCCAGTTTCTGAGGCTGGAACTCCTGATACTGTTTCCACTTCACAGGCACTTGGATTACTGCAGATCTGGTCAGAATATTGCTTTCGGAGATTCACAAGATCTTCATAATCGCCTTTGCCCGATGGGTTATCACGGTCAAACCACTGGGTTTTGCAATTGCCTGATTAGTGCAACAAATAAAAAACACACAGTGAGCAATATTTTTAAAAAGTGGGATTAAAGGTTGCAGAAGAGAGACAGAAAAGAAGTTAACAACAATACTTTGCTTTTGTATTTTAATGGCATAATCACTATTAACCCTGGGTGTTGGCTTCTATTGCTGGATGATGCAGTCCCTAAATACACAGTACTCTGCCTCCCTAGAAGATGCTTGCTGTGCAACTCTGCAACACTCCTCCACATTCCATCCCAACTTGGAAAGATATCACTGCTACTTCAGTAATGCTGTGTCAAAATCCCGGAACTTCCTCCGTAACAGACTGCAATTCCAGAAGGCTTCTCACCACCAACAGCAACTAGGGATTAGCAATAACTGCTGGCTCAGCCAGCAAAGCAAACATCTCATGGAATTAAAAAAAAACTGTCCAAACAGCAGAGAAAACATATTTACTTAACATGGAGCAAAGCTGTGAACTGATTATTTCCAAAGTAGAGAGTCACAATAAATCAACATTTACAAGTGGTCAAACACTTACAGAAAGAATCAGCACAGGTAAACCGTATTCTGTAATCTTCACAGCTGCCATCAGGTTGATCTTTATTCACACAAGTGAATCCAGCTGTAATGCTACATCTATTAAAGACAAAATACAAAGGCTATAATGATGGTGTTGACGAAGGCTGCAATAAGGTCAAGAGATGAATAGTGAACATAAACCAAGCGTCTTCAACACAAGACTTCAATATTATTGCATGGCTGTTGTCAGAACCCATAGCCCCTGCAGCACTAAGTTCTTTCAACAATTTTGTGATACAACGGCATGAATCAAAGTGGTTAATGACCTGCAGTGATGGTATTGAGGACCTTAGGGGGAGTCTGAGATGTGTCATACATTTGGCACTTGTAGCAGAAAATTGTTGTAAATGTTTCATCCTTGTTCTTTGCACTGATGTTTTGGGCTCCCCATCATTGAGAATGGGGATTTTTGTGAAGCTTCCTCTTGTTTGCTAAATTGTCCTCTACTATTTATGACTAGATGTGGCAGGACTGAAATGCTCGAATCTGACAGTTACCAGATAAAAGAGCAATTGTGGGCAGTAAAGTTGCTGTAGAAAAAACAAATGAGATAGATGTGGGTTATCCATAGATGGTTAAGTTGGAGTAGTGAGGCCGCTACTTAATGTAAAACTCCACCCATTCTCTTTGAAACACTGACACATTGCCAAATGAAGATAAAAGGATGCATTATTTACTCAGGAATAATGTCTCCAGAGTTTGAGGCTGGGGCCCCTGTTGCTGTCTCCACTTCACAAGCAATTGGGTTACTGCAGATCTGATCAGGATTTTCTTTCCGCAGATTCACAAGATCTTCATAGTCCCCATTTCCTGATGGGTCATCGCGATCAAACCACTCAGTTTTGCAGTTGCCTGATTCATGAGGGAAAAAAATGGTGTGATTTAAAGTTGGATTGTGAGGTTTAACTTAATTAAACAAATAAAGCGTAGGTTAAACCTAGTAAGGATCGCTTTTATTGCCCTTCCCTTTCTGTCCTTGAGAAGGTTTCTGTGGTGAAGACATTTCGACTGAGCTATTAGGTAGGAAGTAGCAGGAAAACAAATTGTGAGGTTTTAAGCGTTGATTTTTTTTTAAGTCTTAAATTTTATTTCTGTTAAGTTTAGTCCATCACCCAAATAAATAAAGACAAAGCACCTCAGGCTGAGTAGATGCAAATCCTGCTCCACATTGGAGCTGCAGAACCTGGGGGACCACATATGAGGGAAGACAGCTGAAGAAGTTCAACCTCTCGAGTTCAAACCATCAGCAGCAACTACTGGCACTGCAGTATATCTGCAAGGTTGAGAGTTCGTGGACGGTGCATTTCTTGATGTGGTCACGCCACAGCTTAAACGACATGTGGACAGGGAAGGAATAAGTGATTGACAGACAGAGAGGCAGGGGATGCAGAAATTCTCTGAGTGTATCTCATCCTCCAAATGGTATACAGTTCTAAATGTTGGTGAGATAGATGGTTCTTCTGGAGTGTGCAGCCAGAACTCAGTATACTGAAATTTGGGTGGCTCCACTGTATGGGGTGTGCAGGATAAGACTTGGAAAGCAATTCCATTGGGGTTGGTTAACAGTTAAGGGAACAGACAGGCAGATAGACCAGGGTTTCATTGCTGGAGAGAATTATAGAAATAATGGGCAATGGATTCCAAAAACAGAAGTCTTGGAACTGAAAACTATGCAGATAGTGAAATTTACAAAATAGTTAGCATTAAAACAACCTGGTTGAAAATCTGGCTGCACTTTGTTTTATTTTCATTAAGCTTCACTCAAGTCCCAATAACACAATGGGGGAAATCTCTCTGAATTCCTGAAAGACAACATTCAGCCTGAATTCAATGCGTCCTGCCTTTCCACAATTCTGACTGTGGGATTACAATATTTGACAAAGCTTTGTGAATCAGTTTTGCATTGTAGTTTACTCCCAGAAATTCCTTAATGTGTTGTAATGCACAGTTCAAATCCAAAGACAGAAGTCATCATTTTCTTAGGTAAACAAACAGCAAAATGACAATACTAAAAAGTGGAGGCAGTCTTTCCAAAGTGACCAGCTAAAGCTCAAACAGTCAACACTGCAAATGCCCAATACTTACAAAAAGATTCGGGGCAGGTAAATCGAATTTTGTAATCTTCACAGCTCCCATCTTCTTGCTCTTTATTGATACAAGAAAACCCATTGGAAATGCTGCAACTATTTAAGACAGAACAGGAGTTTGTGGAAAAGCAGTTACTAAAATAAATCACATTCTCAGCAATAAAGATCAAAAGAAGGAAAGAGAAATTGTTAATTACTCAGCAACGTTGTCTCCAGTGCTCAAGATTGAAATTCCTGATGTTGTCTCCACCTCACAGGCAGTTGGCTTACTGCAGATCTGATCAGGATATTCTTTTTGCAGATTCACAAAATCTTCAAAATCTCCATTGCCTGATGGATCATCACGATCAAACCACCGGGTTTTGCAGTTACCTGGTTTAAGGAGAAAACAAGGTGTCAACAACATCATTAAGATTAGATTTGACATGGCGACAGCAGAGTAGGGCAAATGTGAAATCATTACTTCCTTTCTGAAGGGAATCTAGCCATACAGGAATTCAATCAAAGCATTATCAGTTTCAGTTTAGCAGTTGCAGAGGGAACCTAATGGAAGAGCAAAAAGGGGAGGTCCAGAAACAGAATTTACTTGTGCGTATGTCGAGCACCTGATTTTCACATCAGAAAGTCAGCTGGATCAAAGGCTCAAATGGTAAGCCTCCTCAGATTACTTTCTGTAACGAAGGTAATAACTTTCTGTTTCCCACTCCCGTTTTCCTTTAAGATTCAGGATGGACATAAACATCTCAAGGCACCATATAAAGAAGGGAGACAAACAGGAAGCCAGAAGAACACAGCAAGCCAGGCAGCATCTGGAGGAAGGGAGAAGTCAACGTTTCGGGTATTACTCTTCTTCAGGACTGGATGTGGGGGTAGGGGGAGCTGCAGATAAAGAGAGGGGTGGGAGGGGGATAGCGGAATGGTGGTGATAGGTGGGCACTGTTAGTAGTTATGACAGGTATGGCCAGGTTGGTTGATGGGAGGGATGAATCCGGTTGGTTGCTGGAATGGAGGGTCAAAAGGTGGAATGGAAGGGAGGAGGTGCAGCTGGAAGGGAAGCTGGGGGATGGGTGGGAAGGTTATTCGAATTTGGAGAACTCAATGTTGAATCCTCGGGCTGTTGCGTGACCAGATGGAAGATAAGTTGTTGTTCTTCAGATTTGAGTTCTGAGTTGCTACGACACTGCAGGAGGCTGAGGATGGACATGTTGGAGGAGGAGTGGGGAGGAGTTGAAATGGGCGGTGACCGGGAAGTTAGGCTGGCCATTACGGGCCAGGTAAAGATGCTCGGCAAAATGGTTGAGATAACAAGGTGTAGAGCTGGATGAACACAGCAGGCCAAGCAGCATCAGAGGAGCAGGAAGGCAAAATGATTACCTAGTCTATCTTTGGTCTCACCAACGGAGAGAAGACCATATTGGGAGCACCAGACGCAATAGATTAGCTTGGAGGAGATGCAGGTGAAGCTCTGTCTCATCTGGAAGGACTATTTAGGGCCCAGGATGGACGTGAGGGAGGTGGCTTGTGGGCAAGTGTGGCATCTTTTACAGTTACAGGGGAAGGTACCAGGCGGGTTGGAGTGGTTGGTGGGGAGTGAGGTGCAAACTAAGGAGTGACGAAGGGAATGTTCCTTGCGGAAGGCAGAGAGGGGTGGTGAGTGGAAGATGTTCTGGCTGGTGGGGTCTAATTGGAGTTGGCGGAAGTGTTTGAGGATGATACGTTGGATGCGGAAGCTGGAGGGGTGGGAAGTGAGGACAAGGAAGACCCTATTCTTATTTTGTTTGGGGTGGGTGGTGGTTAAGAAATGGGGAGTGGGGAATGGAGGAGGTGTGGTGGAGGGCTATCTGGATGACAGGGGAGGAAAAGAGCGCTGTTTGAAAAAGGCGGACATCCAGGATGCTTAGGAGTGGAATGTCTCTGTGTCAGAGCAGATGCAACAGAAATGGATGAAGTGGGAAAATGGGGTGGAGTTTTTGCAGGATACAGGGTGGGAGGAGGTGTAGTCTCGGTAACTACGGGAGTCTGTGGGTTTATAGTAAATGTTGGTCTGTAAACTATCACCTGTAAACTTTCTCTCTCCACAGATGTTGACAGACCTGCTGAGTTTTTTCAGCCTTTAGGTTTATTTTGGATCTCCAGCATCTACAGTATTTTGCTTTCACTTGAGTGTCACATTTCACAAGTATCTCAGGGATTAGAATGAGAGAACCTAAGACAAGAAGTGAGAGGGTGGGTGATCTCTTTCTATTGTTGCTTGTGCTTTGCACAGCAAACCTGAACAGCAAAATATGACCATTTTTGCTGAGGATTTCCAGTTGCTGGAAATGAACCAGATAACAATCAAGATCTTTTCATTTAGGATTCCAAAAAGCAACAATGGAAAATGTTCATCCTGACCAATTTCTGAGAACAAGACCTAATCCCAACTGAAATGACTACGTTCAAAGCCTAGCTCTCAGCCACTTTTTCCAGTGGATCCCAGTGTATCTCTGTCAAACTTTTATTGTTATTAACGTAAGTCTTCAACAATAATCTGCCACAAAATACCTCCAGAAACACTCATAAAACTTCAACTTTGAGCCAAAGTAAGGGGAAAACACATCAGCTGCAGCACTTGAGTTCTACTTTAAACAGCCTGGTCCAGGGCCAACTTCACTTCTAATACATGTTACTCCTGAGTGACTATCATAGACTTTGACATATGTGCATGGTTCAGGTTTCACATCTGAATAGTGTACATTCACAACATACAGGACATACAGCTGTATTCACCTTTCTTCTGCAACAATTTCATAAGGTAGGGCTTCCTCAAGTCGGGACCTGGACCCTAGATGGAGTCACAAGCTGAGTTTTGAAGTGCCAAGCTCTGGACAGCAATAGCCCCATTGAAATCTGACCGAGTTCTCAGACCAGTGCTTGTACTGTAACAGACTCCTACCTTCACAGCCCATCATCTCCTAACCCACTTTCAGTCCTCACTGAGGGATCACGATAATTTTCAATCCTTGGAATGGGGTCACAGCGGTAAAGTTTGGGAACACTGACAAAAGGGTCACCCAGGAAACATCTAGTGGTGGAGTATATGATAAGTGGCCTCTGATAACCAATGTTTGCCCTTGGTATCATGAAAGAGTAAAGCAATGAGGATCATTTGGTAGGAATATTTACTCAGGGACACCAGAACCTGGTGGAGTTCCCAAGGTTGGCACAGTAAGTCATTTGGCTTCTTGTGCTTCTGCTGAGTTATGAAAAAAAGGAAATAAAATCCTACTACGGATGATGATTATGACACAGATAATTTGGTGAAAACTTATTTTTGGAAAATTATTTCAATAATTTCAACATAATTTTAATTTGTTAAAGATCCAATAGCCCCTTCTGATCCATAGATTTCATTTGTGAAGTGAAAATTTCATCCTGCACACAATTACTCCTGCAATAGCACAATTGCCAATGGAAACTGTAGGTGTTGGATTCTCATGTCTACCATTCTGTGGGCCAATACCCCAGTGATTTTCCTTTCAGAGGTCCTTAACCTGTATTTAGTATTGCACTAACAGGGACTGATATCATCCCATTTAAGCAAGCCTTTCAGCAAGCCTTCAGCACTAAATATGTAGCTACAAAGTGAGAATTGACACTCAATAAACCAACTTGCATAAATGTCTAATACTTACAAAAAGATTCAGAGCAAATAAATCGTATTCTGTAATCCTCACAGCTCCCATCTTCTTGCTCTGCATTTACACAAGTGAAGCCAGTAGAAATGCTGCATCTGTTTAACATAGAATAACAGTGTGCAATAATTTAACAAGTAAACAAACTCATACTTTTAAAATTAAGTAATATAATCTAAATTGGATGCCAAGAATAATTGTTTACTCAGGGATATTGTCTCCAGTGCCTGACACAGGAACTCCTGCTATTGTCTCCACTTCACAGGCAATCAGGTTACTGCAGATCTGATTAGGAAATTCTTTTCGTAGACTCACAAGATCTTCAGAATCGCCTGTGCCCGATGGGTTATCTCGATCAAACCACTGGGTTTTGCAGCTGCCTGAATCATGTAATGAACATAAAGCTAACTGTGAGGAACATTGTTGAAGATGAAATTGAAGGTTTTGACTTAAAGCAAGACAAACAGAAAAAGTACTGTCAATTATCTTCTCTCTGCTTGGTCTAAATGAAATGCAATTACATGGAATAATTATTGGTTTCTGAGAAAACCTAATTAAAAGGGATGAAATCAAAGATCTTGTGTCAGAAAAACTTCCCGATTCCTGTGAGAGAATTTTTTTGGTTTATGTGGAAAGACAAAAAGTTAAAAAGACACACTTTAAGGCTTGTGCAGAGCATTTGTAATAAAGTAGATGAATTAATCAAGTAAATAGTTTTAAACAGGAATAATATAGTTGGGAATATGGATATGTGGCTGCAGGGTGACTAGGGATAGAAACTGAACATTCAGGATTATTCTTTCAGGGAAAGAAGGTGAGATAGCATGCCAGTTAAAGACAAAATTAACACAGCTGAGAGAAATGATATTAGCTCCAGTGAAGTGGAACTTGTATTGGTAGAACTCAGAAACACTAAGGGGCAGAAAACAATAAAAGGGCATTGTATACAGACCTGCAAAATGTTGTAGTAACATTAAGCAGAGCATTAAACAGGAAAGTAGAAACACAAGCAGGAAGGGTACAGCTGTAGTTATAAGACCAAACGAAACAGGAACAGGAGTAGACTGTTCAGGCCCTCAAGCCTGCTTCGCCATTCAACAGTATCATGGCTGATCCGACATTCCTCACACTCACTTTCCTGCACTTTTCTCATAACCCTTGATTCCCTGACAGATCAAGAATCTATCTGTCTCCGCCTTAAATGTACTCAAAAGAGTCTGACCCTGGAGCTCTCTGTGGTAAGGAGTTCCAAAGACTCACAACCCCCTGAGAGAAGAAATGCCTCCTCAGCTCAGTCTTAAATTGGTGCCCCTTAATTCTGAAATTGTGTTGTCTGGTCCTAGACTCGTCCATGAGGGGACACATCCTTTAAACATTTACGCTGTCAAGCTCTTTAAGAATCTTACATGTTTGAATGAGATTACCTCTCATTCTTCTAAACTCCAGGTAGAATAGAATCCCAACCTGTTTAGGCCTTGCTCATAAGTATATCCCTCCATACCAGGGATCATCCAAGTGAACCTTGTCTGAACTGCATCCAATGGAATGATATCTCTTTACATAAGGGGACTGCAATAATTGCTCATTCCTGTCTGGTACAAAAATGAAACGATGGGCCAACAATGGCAAACAAAGGAAATTAGGGATAGCATTAGATCCAAGGAAAAGGCAGACAAATTGGCCAAACCAAGCAGCAGGCATGAAGATTAGCAGTTGTTTAGATTTTAACAGAAAGAGGACAAAGAGATTGATTAAGAGAGGGAAAACAGAGTATCAGAGTAAACTTGTGGGGAAAATACAACATAATAGCTTTTATATGTGTGTGAAGAGAAAAAGATTAGTGAAGACAAATGTAGGCCCCCTATAGTGACAAACAGGGGAAGTTATAATGGAGCACAGGTCAATTAAATATATATTTTGATTGTGTTTTCACAAAGGAGGACACAAATAACATCTCAAGAATGTTGGGCTACACAGGGTTTAGTCAGATGTAGAAACTGAACAAAATCAGTATTAGTGGGGAAATAATTTGGAGAAAGTAATGGGATTGAGGGCCGATAAATCTCTAGGGTCTGATAATCTACATCCCAGAGTACTGAATGAAGTGCCCCAAGGAACAGTGGATGCATTATTGGTTGTCTTTCAAGATTCTATGGACTTTGGAGCAGTTCCTACAGACTACAAAGTAGCTAATGCAACTCCTCTATTTAAACAAAGGAGGTAGAGAGAAAATGGAACTATAGACGTAACATTGGTAATAGATAAGATGCCAGATTCTAGGAGAAAAAACTTAATAGCACAGCACTTCGAAACCAGTGACAGTATCAGACATAGTAGGAACTGCAGATGCTGGAGAATCTGAGATAACAAGGTGTAGAGCTGGACGAACACAGCCTTAGGGTCTAGGCCCGAAACATTAGCCCTCCTGCTCCACTGATGCTGCTTACACCTTGTTATCACAGTATCAGACAGTCAGGACAGATTTATGAAAGAGAAATCATCCTTGACAAATCTAATGGAAATTCTTGAGGATGTAACAAATAGAGTCGATAAGGGGGATGTGATTAACATGGACTTTCAGAAGCCTTTCAATAAGGTCCCGTATTAAGAGATCAACATAGAATTACAGAATTCTTACAGTGTGGTTATTCAGCCTATCAAGTCCACACTGACCCTCCGAAGAGCATCTCACCCAGACCCACACCCCCTACCCTTTTCATGTAACCCTATAATCCCCATGGCTAATCCACCTAATTTACACAGCCCTGGACACTATGGGAATTTAGAATGGCCAATCCACCTAATCTGCAAATCTGTGGAAGGAAACCGGAGCACCCAGAGGAAACTCATGCAGACACAGGGTCAATGTGCAACTCTACACAGACAGTTGCCTGAAGGTGGAATCGACCTGGGTCCTTGTGAGGCAGCAGTGCTAACCAGTGGGTAACAGTGCCGCCCATGTAAAATTAAAACACATGGATTGGAATAGTTTACTGACATAGATAAAGAATTGGTCGGCAGTGACTAGTGGGCTACCACAGAGGCCAGTGCTTGGATAATATATATGAATGATTTAGATGAGGGATTTAATACAATATCTCAAATGTGTAGATGTCATAAAGCTAGTTGGGAGAGGGAAGAGGATGCAGAGATGCTTCAACGTGATTTGAACTTAGAACATAGAACAGTACAGCACAGTATAGGCCCTTCGGCCCACGATGTTGTGCCGAACTTTTACCCTAAACCTAAGGTCTATCTAACCTCCACCCCTACCTTATACTATCATCCATATACCTATCTAATAGCCGCTTAAATGCCCCTAATGAGGCCGACTCCACTACCCTCTCCGGCAATGCACATGTTGAGTGAATGGGCAAATGCATGACAGATGAGGTATAATGTGAGGTTATTCACATTGGTAGCAAAAACAGGAAGGCAGATTATTATCTGCATGGCAATAAATTGGGAAAGGGGAAGGTGCAACAAGACTTGGGTGTCTTCATACATCAGTTGCTGAAAGTAAGCATGCAGGTACAGCAGGCAATGAAGAAGGCTGCTGCACCCAATGGTATGTTGGCCTTCATAGAAAAAGAATTTGAGTGCAGGACAGGGATGTCTTGCTGCAATCATACAAGGCCTTGGTGAGACAAGACCTGGAGAATTATGAGTAACCATTTCTGAAGAAGGGTCCCGACCCGAAATGTCAACTTTCCTGCTTCTCTGATGCTGCCTGGCCTGCTGTGTTCCTCCAGCTCCACACTGTGTTATCTGACTCCAGCATCGGCAGTTCTTACTATCTCTGTGTAGCCTTGGTCTCCTTGTCTGAGGAAAGATGTTCTGGCTATGGAGGAAGGGCAACGAAGGTTTACCAGACTGATTCCTGAGATACAGTCATAGTCATAGAGTTATACAGTGTAGAAAAAGCCCTTCGGCCCATCAAGTCTGCACTGATAATAACTACCAATAAAGGGGCACTAATCCCAATTTTTCCTGCACTTGTCCCATATCCTTGAATGTTATGATATTTCAAGTGCTCATCCAAACATTTTTTTTAAAGGTTGTAAGGTTTCCAGCCTCCACTACCTTCCCAGGCAGTGTATTCCAGATTCATACCACCTGCTGAGTGAAAAAGTTTTTTCTCCAAATCCCCTCTGAATCTCTTGCTCCTTACCCTAAAATAATGCCGTCTTGTGATTGAACCTTCAACCAAGGGGACAGCTGCTCTTTATTCACCTCTTCCATACCTCTCATAATCTTACACACCTCAATCATGTCCTCCCTCAGTCTTCTCTGCTCTAAAGAAAACAATCCAAGCCTATTTAGTCTCTCCTTATCCTCAATTTCTCCATCCCAGGCAACATCCTGGTGAACCTCCTCTGTAACCCCTCTAGTGCTATCACATCCTGCCTGTAGTGAGGTGACCAGAACTGCACATAGTAGTCCAGCTGTAGCCTAACCAACGCTCTGTACAACTCCAACATTGCCTCCTTGCTCTTGTACTCAACATCATGACTGATGAAAGCTAGTGTCCCATTTGCCTTCTTAACTATCTTATTCATGTGCTCTGCCAACTTCAGGAATCTGTGAATCATTACCCGAAGTTCCCTCTGTTCCGTTAAACTACTCAGTGTTTCACCATTCACTAAATACTCCCTCATCTTGTTGTTTCTTTACAAGTGCATCTTATTAAGGTTAAATACTATCTGCCAATGGATTGAACTGTAGGACTGACATGTGAAGAGAGACTGGAACAGATAGGACTATATTCACTTAAGTTTAAAGGAATGAGGAAGAGTCTCATAGACAACTATAACATTCTAACAGGACCAGATAGGGTAAATGCAGGAAGGATATTCACGATATGCAATGAGTCCTGAACTAGAGGTCAGTCTAAGTCGTTTAGGACAGGGGGTGGTCACCTGTCTCATCAGCCTGGACCAGAAGAAGGTCTTTTGACAGGACATCGCACACCTATATGTGCATGGAGCTTTTTGCCAAGTCCATCAGGAAGAATGTGAGGCTGAGAGGGGTGACTATTCCAGGCAATAGAAGCCTGCAGGTCAAAGCTTCCCTTCATGGATGACTTGACCATTTTCTGTTCAGATCCACTGTCAATGTGCAGACTCATAAGCATCTGTGACCAGTTCAGACTAGCCTCGGGTGCAAAGGTACATTGTGGCAAGAGCAATGCCTTGTTCTTTAAGAACTGTGCTAACCGATTCTTTACCCCCTTCACTGTCAGGCTTGGTATACAACTGCTATGCCCAGGACTGTAAAAACTAGATAACGTTGTGAACACAGCCCAGACCATCATGCAAGCCAACCTTCTGTCCACTGACTCCATCTACACTTCTTGCTGCTGCAGAAAGGCAGCCAATATCATCAAAGACCCCTCCCACCCCGGGTATAATCTCTTCCAAACTTTTCCGTCAGGCAGAAGACACAAAAGCTTAAACACATGAGCCAACAGGTTCAAAAACAGCTTCTTCCCCACTGTTATTAGACTTCTGAACGGACCTCTCAAATTTCAAATGTAATGTTGATCTTGCTTTTTGTGCACCTTCTTTGCAGCCTTAACTTGTATTCCCCGCTCTGTTCAATCAGCCTTTGATCTTTGTATGCTATGATCACCCTGTACTGCATGCAAAATAGAACTTTTCACTGTACTTAGGTGCATGTGACAATGACAAATTAAAGCAAAATCAAAAACTTGAGGCCAGATTACCTGAAGCTGCTGGGCATATGGTTTGGAGAGGAAGGGGTGTGAGCTAAAACTTGAGAGAAGTATATTGCCAGGTGCGGCAGAAACTAGGCAGATGGGAAAAGAATGTGGTCATCATATGAGCTACTTATGGTGTATGTGGTGCAGGTCTGGTCTATTCCCCGAGCCTGTGTCACTACAGTCACCTGAGCCATCTTCCTCTTCATCTGGAGATCAAAGATGGACACGACGTATAAAGCTCTAGATAAAGGGGGAAGGATATACCCAACACCAACCTCATCCTGATGGCCACTTCTGTGCATTGATCCTCGGTACACAATCACCAAGTGTCACTAAATACTGAGGTTCGCCTATCCCCAGTGTTACAAACGATGGGTCAGGCTGTGGAACACTCATAGTTGGACTGTTCCATATCACTTGTCACCCATGGAACAATTTACAAACAAAAACACCTTTCACCACAAATCCAGTGCTCTGGCAGTGGTCAGCACATAATGTCCAGGAGAAGGAGAGGACTGATCTTGTCAGTGATTCCCTGAGCCTTTTGATTCTGCTCCACCATTTAATGAGATCACAGTTGATCTGATAATCCTCAACTTCATCTTCCTGTCTTATCGCCATAACCCTTTCAGGAAAAAAAATCAGATCACACTAACTGGCTGCGAAAACAACAGATTCTCTTTGTCTCACCACAGATTCTTTTTGCCAATTACCTTAAATATTTATTCCCTCTGGAAACTGACCCTCCAGCAGCTTGAAACCATTCTCCCTTATTACGTTATCAAAATGCATTCTGATTTTGAAGATGTAATAAATCTTGACTTCAATGTCCTGAGTACATGTGCAACTTTTGGTATTTCACTGCACAACTGAATTTCCTCATTCCAGGTACCTTTCGCTCAATCTCTACATCATCTTCAAGGCATTCGTATCATTTCCAAAGTGGGCTACCAAAAACTAAACTTATTTTTATATCTTTCAGTGTATACCAAAAATGCAACAGTGAATTTGAAAGTAGTCTTTCAAAAGTCAAAACTAGTGTAAATCAATACATTAAAATAAAAAACTCCATCACTTACAAAAAGATGGAGGGCAGGTAAATTGTATTCTATAGTCTTCACAGCTTCCATCATTTTGTTCAGCATTCACACAGGTAAATCCTGTAGATGTGCTGCACCTGTTTAATGCAGAGTGGTAAAAAATCATCATGCAATTAAAAAAAGCTATTCATATTTGTTGAGTGACAATAACAGATTACAATGGTAGGGATCAATGTTTACTGAGGGATGTTGTCTCTAGTGCTTGAGGCTGGAATTCTTGATGCTGTCTCCACTGCACAGGCAATTGGATTTCTGCAGATCTGTCCAGGATACAGTTTTCGGAGATTCACAAGATCTTCACAATCGCCATCTCGTGATGGGTTATTGCAGTCAAACCAACGGGTTTTGCAGTTGCCTGATTAAAGGAATAAACAAAATCGACTTTGAGAATGTTCTAAAGATGAATCTGACAGAATTATAGAAATATCCAGTGCTGGAGAGGCCACTTAGCCTGTAGTGCTTGTACTGGTTCTTGGAAAGAGGCTGTCATTCTCAGTCCCAAATCTCTCCATTTTATCTGTAATTATGTATTGTCATTATATTATTAATTTATATTGGAGAGGGTTCAGAAAAGATTTACCAGGATGTTGCCAGGAATAGAAGGTTTGAGTTACAAATATTGTCTGGATAGGCTGGGATTTTTTCACTGGATTGTAGGAAGTTAAGGGGTGACCTTTTAAAGATTTATCATAGAATCACTACAGTGTGGAAACAGGCCTTTCAGCCTATTGTGTCTACACTGACCCTCCGAAGCGCATCTCATCCAGACCCAACGCTCTACCCTATACCCATGCATTTCCCATGACTAATCCACCCTAGTCTGCACATCCCTGGACATTTGAGGCAACTTAGCATGGCCAATCCATCTCACCTGCACACCTTTGGACTATGGGAGGAAATTGGAGCATCCGGAGAAAACCCATGCAGACATGGGAGGAATATGCAAACTCCACTCAGACAGTTGCCCGAAGCTGTAATCAAACCTGGGTCGCTGGTACTGTGAGGCAGCAGTGCCAGCCACTGAGTTACCATGCCACCCTTATAAAGTCATAAGGGACATAAATAAAGTGAATAGCAAAGGTCTTTTCAATAGGGGGCATATTTTTAAGGTGAGAGGAGAAAAATTTTAAAAGGATATGAGGGGCAACTTTTTAAAACAGAAAGTGGTTACTGTGTGAAATGAACTGCCAGAGGAAGTGAAGGATGCAGGTACAGTCACAACCTTTAAAGACATTTGGATAGGTACATCAATAGGAAAGGCTTGGACGGATAAGTGCCCAATGCAAATAGGTGGGATTAGTTTAGTTTGGGAACATGGTTGGTGTGGACTAGTTGGACTGAAGGATCTGGTTCCACACTATATGACACTATGACTCTATGTAAGTTCTCAACCTCAATCAAGGACTTGTTGAAGTCATTTATAGAAACAGTTTTTGTTTCCCGACAACATTCATGTGAGGCATTCACAAGGGTATCAACATCCCTTAAGCCCTTGCCAAGTGATTTGCTGAGCTCCTCATGAATGAATTCTTTAGTAGTTGGTCACCAAATAACTGTGTATGGCCAGCCATTCTCGCCTCTGAGTGGAAGAGCTGTAAACCTTCTGTTTCACCACAGGCAACTAGAGGATTCCACCCAAGTGAATCAAATGACAAAATTAGAGATGATTTGCAGGGCAAATGAGAAATAGGAATGGAGCCGGAAGCAAAAAGATGTGTGTCCGGCAAAAGTGTAAATGGCAAAACCAAGTAACTTCCAACATTCAAAAACGAAATGCTCAAAAAAGCTTGGCCGCAGAGGTTGGAATTGGAAATAGTTGAACTCAATAAATCTGAAGGGCAGAAAATAGCTGCTATTCTTCAAGCAATTATTAAGCTTCACTGGATCAGTGTGGAGGGCAAAGATCAGACAACTCAGAGTGAGATGGGGAATTAAAATAACAGGTCACTCACCATCCTTAAATGGAACTATACTGCTATTCCTTCGCTGTTGCTGTCTCAAATCTGGGAACGCCTTCCCTAATTGTACTGTGGATGTCCCTCCATAACAAGGACTACAGCAGTTCCAGAAGACAGCTCACCCACCATCTTCTCAAGGGCAATTAGAGATGGGAAACAAATGTTGGCTCAGCCAGCAAAAACCACATTATTAAAATGGAAGCTGCAATGCAATTTCCTAATCTAATTCAAAAATAGCATGGACGGTGGAAATCTGAAATTAAAAAATTGCTGGAGAAACACAGCCTATTTGGCAGCATACCTGTAGAGAGAAAGACAGTTAACAGTTCGAGTCCATACATTCTGTGTCCTAGTGTAAAGGATCATCACATGATAGAGTTGATGAAACTGAAATATGCACAGCAAAACATCAATATCCCCTCTCCAGTGGTTGAGGAAAAACTCCCCATAGAAGAGGAAGCAACTCTTACTCACTCAAATTTCACCAGGAAGACAATCTCACATGCTGCACACTACGTTCAACCAGTCATGAATCTGAAATCATGTATTTCGCATTTGCTGCATACTTAATTTAAACAGTACACTTCATTTTGGTGAGGTTGCCTTTAAATAAGCATCTATGATGTGCAAATATATTAAAAATGGCTCCCAATACTTGCCATCAGGAAGTGTGATCCACTGTCCATCTGTGCCAATTCAATTTCAAAGTTTCATCCTGCTGTCTGGAAGATGACTATTGGTGTCCCACAGAATTGAATGACTGGCCCGCCTCATTGCCTGCTCCTGAGAGTTGCACAAAATTCTGCCCAATATTTCATTTTACTCTCCTTTAATCTACCCTACATAGAGTCTGCCTTTTCCTCCTCCATCTACCCACCCAACTCAAGGCCTACAATGGTTCAAGAAAGTCAGAAGTCATGCAACAGCAGGTTACAGTCCTAAGCTTTGTGTGAAATCATAAGCTATCGGAGTGCTCCTCCTTCGTCAGGTGAAGTGGAGCTGTGCTTCCCTCCATTTCATCTGATGAAGGAGCAGTGCTCCAAAAGCTTGTGATTTCAAATAAACCTGTTGGACTATAACCTAGTGTCGTGTCACTTCTGACTTTGTCCACCCCTGTCCAACACCAGCACCTCCACAATATGGTTCAAGAAGACAGCACACCACTACCTTCTCCAGGGTGACTAAGGTTGGACAATAAATGCTGGCCCAGCTAGTGGCAGCCACATACTTTCAAATGAATATTAAAAAGAAAATGTTTGATCCCAGTTCATGACACTGCTCAAAGTCATGTTGCAATCAATTTTTCCCAGTGGAACATTATATATTGACACAAATAAAAGTTTTGACAGAAATATAACCATAAAAAAGGTGTTTTCTGGCATAGAACTTGCTGAGTAAAGAAGATATATTTTGTTGAAGCTTTTGTATTGCACTCATCAGGACAACTAGCAAGAATACCAGTTTAAATGAAAAGAACATTTACATTGAATGCAAAGGCAGCATTGATTAGTTAGCAAATGGCCTCTGTTTGGCAGATGGATAATTCACATTAATAATATATAGTGTAGTAGCTTATTTACAGATAAGAATGAGAGGATACATACGCATAGCATAGATCAGGTTAAGACATAGGGCCAGTGGGTTGACATAAATATTTTTGATGTACTCAAGGGTTCCAAAGATCTTGAAATAGTGACATCTACACTCTTATTACTTCAAAAGAAAGCTAGTAAAAAGCTGCTGTTTGGACAAGTTAGTAACGACATCTTTTGAACGTTTGTCAGATTCTGGTGATATAATAGGACAGTGTCATTTCATTTCCAAAGGATGATACTTTTCTTTGAACTCAATGCCTTCTGCAATATCATAAATAACTGTGATTAGAAACTCTGAGTACGGAGTCCTTTCTGTTCTTTTATTAGGTGTTCACGGATTTTGCAGGCCACTGGCAAGACCGGTTTTTGTGACCATCTTCAATTGCTCTTGCACTTAAAAGTTTGCTAACGTAGGTGCTCAAAGTTTCTGCGTGCTTTTACTAACAAGGTTCTCAATATTGAATATTGCAATAATCTACGAAGAGCCTGAAATCATCTTCATATTTAAACAAAATATCAGTGCATGTAGAACTCTTGTTTCAAATTGGAATCTAACAGTCAATAAATCAACCTCTGACAGATCTTCATTACTTACAAAAAGACTCAGGGCAGGTAAATCTTATTCTGTAATCTTCACAGCTCCCATCTTCCTGCTCTGCATTCACACAGGCAAATCCTATTGAAATGTTGCATCTGTTCCATATAGAATAGCAGGATGTGATATATAGTGTCCAAAACAATTCATGCTATCTGAAGTAGTGACAACACCAAAATAGGATAAGAGCAATTAATATTTACTCAGGAATGTTGTCTCCAGTGTTTGACGCTGGAACCCCTGATACCGTCTCCACTTCACAGGCTATTGGGTTACTGCAGATTTGCTCAGGAAATTCTTTTCGCAGATTGGCAAGATCTTCAAAATCACCCTTGCCCAATGGGTTATCACGGTCAAACCACTGGGTTTTGCAGTTGCCTGAATCATGGAACAAATGTAAAGCCAACCGTGAGGAATGTTTAAAGATGTTTTTAATTTAATGGATAATAAATAAAGTATCAACAATTTGTCCTTTCTCTGCTGAAGACCAAGTTAAGATGTAAGTGTTTTATTATTGACTTCAACCTGTGTTTGCTCAGACAGCCTAGTTAAAATGGATAAAATTGTAGTATCAGAAATCCTTCCTGAATCCTGTTAAAGAGTTTTGTGTTCTTCCTTGACTGGAAATTAATGCTGTTTTGGGAACTGAGCGATTCATTTAGGGTTTCACATTCAGTATTAGCATCAGCAACACTCAGGTCAGTTGCAGCTTACATTGGATAGGAATTAACAATCTGTTTGTTCCCACCCAAAATGTGACATTTGTCACTTCCAAAATTAATCCTCCTGCAGTGGTTCAATATACCACTGCACTGTTACATGAAGGTCCTTGTGTACAATATTGTACAATCATAGTTCAATTCTAATCAGGCACTGAAATTACATTATTTCAAAATACAACTTTGATTGTTCAACTCTATTTCAAATTGGAAGCTAAGAATGAATAAAATCAACTTCTTACAAATATCCAATACTTACAAAAAGATGCTGGGCAGGTAAATCGTATCCTGTAATCTTCACAACTCCCATCTTCTTGCTCTGCATTCACACAAGCAAATCCAGTTGAAATGCTGCACCTGTTTAATACAGAATAGGTGCATGTGTTAATGTATATGTTTAAATCAATCTTTTGAAGTGAATTAATGGTATCAAAATACGATGAGAGGAATCATTATTTACTCAGGGATGTTATCGCCAGTGGTTGAAGCTGGAACTCCTGACGTTGTCTCCACTTCGCAGGCAGTCGGGCTACTGCAAATCTGATTGGGATATTCTTTTCGCAGATTCTCAAGATTTTCATAATCGCCAGTTACTGATGGGTTATCGCGGTCAAACCACTGTGTTTTGCAGTTGCCTGAATCATGCAAAGTATATGTTATTTGCACTATTTCTAAAGATGCATATAAAGATACGACATGCTTGTTGCAGCGAAGTAGCTTTAATTTCGCCTACTAAAATTTACCTAGCTGTACAAACTTACACAGAATCACAATAAAATTCAAAGAATGTTGCTGAGAGAATCTAATAGAGGACCAAAAAGGGCATGGTGATCAAATGATAGGAATGATTTCTTATTTCTGTATACAATCACTGGGAGACAAACACATGAACATTTTTCACATTAACTTGTTTCTCTCAAGTATTCTCAGGTCCGATGGATCCAGTGATCAAAGGCCACCATATTATGTGTTCAATAGGCAGATATCGTACACTGAAACAGGAGGGGATTGTGTGTTTCAGTGGTAGCATCCTTAGTTTGAGACTAGGAGACCCATGTTAAAGTCTCATCTGCTCTAGAGATGTGTAATAAGAGAAAAGAAATTTGTGGGAAGTCTATGAGATAGTTATTTTGAGCAATTTGTGGTATAGCCCATTAGGGAGCAGGTAATTCTGAACTTGATGATGTGTAATGAGACAGACTTGATTAGGAGCTTAAGGTGAAGGAAGACCTGGGGGCAGTAACCCTAATGTGATAGAATTTACGCTACATTTGGGACAGAAAAGCTGGAATCAGATGTAACAGTATTACAATCGAGTAAAGGTAACTACAAAGACATGTGGGAGAAGCTGGCCAGAGTTGACTGGAACAGGACCCTAGTAGGGAAGATGGTGAACCAGCAATGGTAGGAATTTCTGGGTGTAATTTGGGAGGCACAGCAGAAATTCACCCTAAGGAAGAAGAAACATACTAAGGGGAGGATGAGGAAACCATGGCTGGCAAGGGAAGTCAGGGACAGCAAAAAAAAAGACAAAGAGAAAGCATTCAACGTGGTGAAGATTAGTGGGAAGCCTTTAAAAGGCAGCAAAGGGTAATTAGAAAAAAAAAATGTGGGGAGGGGTGTGTGGTGGTGAGAAGATGAAATATGAGGGTGAATGAGCTAGTAATATAACAGGATATCAAGAGAATTTTTAGATATCTAAAAGGAAGAGAGAGGCAAGAGTAACATTGAACCACTGGAAAATAAGGCTGGAGAACAAAGAAATGGCAGAGGAACTGAATAGGTACGCTGCATTAGTTTTCACAGTGGAAGACGCCAGCAGCAGAGGTCAGTGTAGTGGCCATCACGAAGAAGAAGGTACTGGGGAAGCTGAGAGGTCTGAAGGTGGATAAATCACGATCTTGATGGACTACACTCCAGCCTCCTGAAGAAGACAGCTGAGGAGATTGTAGAGACATTCATAGTGATCTTTCAGGAATCACTGGAGTCGGGGCATGACCCAGAGGACTGAAAAATGGCTAATGTAACATACCATTTTAAGAAGTGAGGGAGGCAGAAGACGGGAAACTATAGGCTGGTTAGCCTGACCTCGGTCGTTGGTAAGATTTTAGAGTCCAATATTAAGGACGAGATTGTGGAGTACTTGGAAGGACATTGTAAAAAGGGTTGAGTCAGCACGCTTCATCAACAGAAGGTCATGCTGACAAAATCTGTTAGAATTTTTTGAGGAGGTCACAAGCGAATCAGACAAAGGAGAGCTAGTAGATATGACACTTGGATTCCCAGAAGGCCTTTGGAAGTTCAAAGGGGGCTGCTAAATAAGGGATGAGCCCATGGTATTAGGGGTAAGGTACTTGCATGGACAGAGGATTGGCTGAGTGGCAGAAGGCAGAGAGTAGGGATAAAGGGGTATTTTTCAGTATGGCAACTGGGGACAAGTGGTGTTCCACAGGGTCCATATTGGGACCAAAGCTATTTATGTTATACATTAACAATCTGAACGAAGGAACTGAGGGCATTGTCACTAAGTTTGCAGATGAACAAAGATAGGTGGAGGGACAGGTAGTACTGAGAAAGTGAGGAGGCTGCAGAAGCACTTGGACAGGATAGGAGAGTAGGCAAAGATGTGACAGATGGAATACAATATGGAAAAGTGTGAGGTTATGCACTTTGTTAGGGAAGAATAGAAGCATACACTATTTTCTAAATGAGGAAAGGCTTCATAAATCTGAAGCACAAGTGACTTAGGAGTGCTAGTTCAAGATTTTCTAAATGTTAACATGCAGGTTCAGTTGGCAGTTAGGAAGGCAAATGTAACGTTAGCATTCATTTTAGGAGTGCTAGAATACAAGAGCAGAAATGTACTGCTGAGGGCTGCATAAGGCATTGGTCAGACCACATTTGGATTACTGTGAGCCGTTTCTGGCCCTGTATCTAAGAAAGGATGTGCTGGCATTGGAGGGAATCCAGACAAGATTTATAATAATGATACAGAATGGGGCACTTGTCATTTGAGGAGCAGTTGAGGACTCTAGGTCTGTACTCAACGGAGTTTAAAAGGATGGAGGGGGGAAGGGAACAGCCTTAGAGTGAAGAAATGACACTTTCGAGCTGAAATAAGGAGGAATTTCTTCAGCCAGAAGGCAGTTAATCTGTGGAACTCATAGCACAGAAAGCTGTGGAGGGCAAGTCACTGAGTGTATTTAAGACAGCAACAGATAGGTTCTTGATTGGTAATGAGATCAAGGGTTACAGGGAGAAGGCAGGAGAATGGGATTGAGAAACGTATCAACCACGTTCAAATGGCGGAACATTTGATGGGCCGAACAGCCTAATTCTGCTCCTGTGGCTTATGGTCTTATAACATGCCTAAACAGATTGATTAGAAAAGATCTGATCTGAACCAGGCAGCTGAAGAAGATCTGTGATCTGACAGTTTTATTGTTGTGCTATAATTCACTACAAGTCTTCATTTTTTTCCTTTCCTTTTGGATCCTCTCCCAATCCAAAAGTCCAACTGTCTTTTAAGGAAATGTCTTTGCTCTCTAGTACAACCATAACAGTTATCCTGACATCTTGCTCAATGTTTATCCCTTAACAACACCTGAAACACACCACCTGGCCGTTTCTTTCATTTCTGTGGAATGTCATATGTAATTTCATAGAATCCTTACTGTGCAGAAAGAAGCCATTCAGCCCATCAAGACTGCACCAATCGTCCAACAGCAGCCCATCACCCACCCTATCCTCGTATCTCCACATTTCACATGGCTAATCCACCTAACCTGCACAACTTTGGACTGTGGAATGAAACCAGAGCACCTTGTGGAAACTTATGCAGACGTGGGGATACGTAACCCAGTCATTTCTAGTATCACTCCTTGTAAATATTCTCTTGTACTTTCTTCCTCTACACAGACTTTACAATATGGCAACTAGAACTCTACAGTATTTTAACGGTGCTATCATCTTCAGCCAGAAGCAGCAAGTGGAAGATCCATTTCAGTCTGTTCCTGAGGTCCCCAGCATCAAAGATGTCACTCTTCAGCCAGTTCAATTCGTGTGACATCAAAATACAAGGAGAAGTGATGGCCTACTGGTATTATTAGCTAGATTAGCTAGACTGCTAATACAGAGACCTGGTAATGTTTTGCGGACCTAGGTTTGAATACTTCTGTGGTAGATGGTGGAATTTGACTTCAATAAATATTTGGAATTCAGAGTCTAAGGGTGACTATGAACTCATCACCGATTGTCCATAAAACCCATTTGCTCTTTAGGGAAGGAAACCACCACCCTTACCTCGTCTGGCCTACATGTGACTCTATACCCACAGCAATGTGGCAGATGGTTAACTGGTCTTTGGGCAGTTTGAGATGGGTAATAAATATTAAACTGGTGAGTAATGCCAAGATCCTGTGAATGAATTAAAAATAAAAACAGCTGAATACACTGAACACTGCAAAGGCAATCGTATTGGAGATTTGTGCTCTAGACTTTGCACCTCTAGCTAAACTGTTCCAATACAGTTACAACATCTGGCATCTACCCGAATGTGGAAAATTGCCCAGGTATGTTCTGTACACAAAAAGGAGGAAATCCAACCTGGCCAATTACTGCCCCATCAGTCTACGCTCGATCATCTGCAAAGTGATGGAAGGTGTTGTAGCCATATATCCTCTACAAAGGATGTTGGGAAAACAAGACAAGCTCACATAAACAAAAATAAACAAAGAAATGTGGTTGCTAGAAATCAGACAAAACAAAAATTACTGGAAAAACTCATGAGGTCTGGCTGCATCTGTGGAGAGAAAGCAGAGCTAATGTTTCGGGTCTAGTGACCCTTCTTCAGAACTGCGATGTAAACAACAGTCTACTGTGAAAAGTAGAAGAACCAGAATGTTGATTGAGTAGCCTGCTGTTGAAGGTCACTCCACCTTTGCAGTTGTACAGGTTCCTAAATTAAATACAGAAAAGAGAACAATGGAGTGATGTGCCCTGTTTACATGACACTTAGATGGATGATCACAGAATCATGAGGGAATTGGACAGGGGTACATCATCAAATGTTCTGGATAAACATGCCAAGTGATGTTAAATATTATGAAGGTATTAAAGGGTCTGGGATCTGGCAGACAAAAATATTGGGAGGAGGCTTGAAGGGAGTAAGCAGTATGTGCCTCTAAGTTGAATAGTGCTACAGCGCTAGCCAGTAGCATGAAGGAATTAATGGAGAAGGAAATAGCAAATGAAAGATTTAAACAAGAAATTAATAAATACATAGAGGGCATCAGTGGAGTGAAATGATTCCATGGAGGTTGCAAGGCAGGGGCTGGTAACACACAGCACACCATTCAGGATGGCACAGTTATCCAAGGTAACAAAGATCTTAATCTTCAAGCCCTTCTGTTGATTACCATTTGACCACATAATTCAGCAAAGTGCCTTGCATGTGCTTGACATCAAAGAGCAGGAAATTCTATCAATTTTTGAGTCCCATTGTTCATTCAGCTGTACCTGATCATCAGAGTATTGAGGAAGATAACTCACAAGAGTTGAGAAATGCTGTGCTGACTGCAGTAGGAAATGACAAAACGAACCTGGTTGATGTTTAAGGTTTTAGCAAAGATTTGTA